GTGGTCAAAGATAAATGTAAGGTATCTCATTTTCTTTCTCAAAAATAGTATTTCTCCACTTTTTCATATACCCATGAACCATGATATGTTGAATGAGGATGAATGCATCACAATACATACAACACAAGGCATAATCAATTAATCAAGGATTTAATAGCATAAAGTCCCCCAAACTCAATAAGTCATGAACACAGCCTCATGTGATAGGATAGTAGTAGAAACCATTTGAAATCAACCTTTACCGTTTAGAAAGCATTTCTTTCATTTTTGAGATGATCAATATCAATTCAAGACACTAACTCGGGCATCTCAATGTCAAGTATAAAAATAGATCACATAACCACTCACTCGGGTAATTTCTCAAGTATCACAGGTTTTCAACAACAACAATTAAGGTATCACACGAGGCCCCCACACATGCTAATTAAGCATCACAAATAGGCCCCACATGGGGTAACCAAGAAAGTCAACACTTTCCAGCCTCTAAAATTTATATTCCAACTCATTTCATAGTTGACTTCGTATGAAAGATTAACTACTCATCTCGATCTAAAATAGAGATAGTCAAACATGCCTCAAAGGTTGAATGTCATCTGAACAACTCTATTAGAGTACTCCCTCTACCAAACGATCATTGAAATAAGGTCCTACTATCAAGAATGGAAATGATTCTTCAACAATATCCCTACGATAACCATACTGATAGGATTAAAAACCGGAGGTAAAATAGTTAAAACATTTCTTCAAAAATCGAAAGGTTAAAATCAGATTTTTATTTGAAAAACACAATCTACAACCAAAGATGTAACACCCCGTATTCGAAACAAACCAAATTGCAGATTTCAGAAGCTACAGGTGCCACCTACGGGCACCACCTACAGACCGTAGGGTGACCCATGGTCTGTGCTGGTGGTCCATGGTTCACACCTGTAGCCTCCCCCAGAACTCTGCCAAAAAATTTGGCTAAGTGTTGACCCACGGCCGAACCTACGGTCCGTAGGTCAGGTCACGGACCGTGGTCCATGTCCGTGGATCGACGCTCCAGATTTCAACCGTCATTCGCGAATGATGGTCGACCAGCACGGACCGTCAGTTAATCGACGGTCCGTCAGTCACTCCGACAGCAGTTAAGTCGGGGGTGTTTTGGTCTTTTCCTTATTCGTTTGACCCCTAGACTATGTCGTTTAGACCGTAAATTATGAGGTTTTAGTCAGTTTAAGCCTAGAAACATAACTAGAACTTACCTAAGTCAAATCATTAATCAAAACTTAGAAAAATTAGAACGCTAAGAGGAGAAAGAAGTTAAGAACCCTAGTTAAAGAACGCAGCAATATTCCATCAGTTCCTGCCACAAAATCAAAAGATTTCTCCGTGGAATTTGTCACCAGGTATGTGGGATTTCACTAGTGGGTTCCTTTCGCCCATTAGGTCCCTAGAATTCAGTCAGATTCTTGATTCCCTATTATTAACTAGACCTAGGGTTTCTAGAACTTCAGCATATTATCATGAATTAGTTATTTAAATGTTCCAAATCAGATTATCATGTTATTACTTGGTTTCTAGCATAAATTTAAGAACCCTAGCTATGTATTTATTTAGTTCTTGAATTACACATGCTAGGTCAGATATTTCAGATATACTTGCCTCAGTTTTTGAATGTGTCATTATCAGTATATTAATGTGCATTCCCAGTTGCATGTCAGTTTTAAGCTATCCAGTATATTACAGAATTCGGTCATAATATGTTAATCATTTAATCTATTGGGAGTAGCATAATACCAAGTTGGACTAGGGTCAGTCACTCATATAGTCCCAGAACTACGAGCCACGTAGGTTGTAAGTCCCCTCTGTGGGTATCATTTTAGTGATCACGCCAGTATGCCTCTACACCTTTGGCCGGGTGTATTGGGTCCTCTTGATGGGGCGTATACATTGGACTCCACATTTAGCTCATGTGGTTTTATCGTCGGTTATTAGTAGCTCCCACAGTTTAGTCAGATTCTATTGCATTGACCACATTTACAGTACAATCATTATTTAGTCTCAACATGTTATAAATTTGGTCATTCCATTCAGTTAGCTCAGTATTCAGTATATATATCATGTTCAGATTATATCCTACTTTATTTCTTGCTCAGTTATATGTTTATTTCAGCTTTACTCTATCATGCATGCTCAGTACCTTTCAAGTACTGACGCATACTTTGCGCTACATCTTCTCATGATGTAGGTTCAAGTTCTCAGCATCCAGATCACGCTTAGATCGGTCCCTGATCTCCAGTTCAGCAACATCAGTGGTGAGTCCTCATTCTTCGAGGACAATAGTTATGTTATCTTTTCAGTATTTCAGTCTTTTAGTTTCAGTTTTGCTAGACTTAGCTGGGGCATGTCCCAGCACTTCTATTCAGTTAGAGGCTATTTTCAGACATAGTTAGATTCAGCTTAGTATTTGAGTTTGATGTTTCTTTTGTATTAAACTCTCAGATTTGATATTCAGTTTTAGTATATGGGTATCCCCCATCATTTCAGATTCACTTATTATTAGCTTCCGGATTAGTTTTATTTCTCAGTTTATCTTTAGTATGCTCATGATTATGCCAGCAGGGTTAGCTTGGGGTCACTTGTGATCGTAGGTCCCGTGTCCGCGTCTCGGGGTAGCTCGGGGAGTGACAAACTTGGTATTAAATCACTAGGTTTAAGTGTCCTAGGATGTCTGAAAAGCCGCACTAGGTAGAGTCATTTTCATAGGTGTGTAGTGCGCACCACATCTAATGAGAGGGAGGCTACAAAATGTATTAGAAAAATCCTCATTTTCTTGTTACTCTTTTCGTGCGTAAGGTATGATCTAATTCCATTCTAATTCGACATTCTACGTTTTAGTGATCATGCCTCCTCGTAGAGCTAACGCCAGGAATGCGAATGCCAAGAGCAAAAACGTAACTCCTCCAGTCCCAAATCAAGTAGTTTCGAATGCAGAGTTTCGGAACGCCATTCAGATATTGGCTTAAAGTGTGGCCAACCAGAACAATCAGCGGGTTCCAGGTCCAACAGATGCTAATGTTGGGTCAGCTACAGCTGGAGTGCGAGATTTTGTTAGGATGAATCCGCCAGAATTCTTAGGATCGCAGATTGGTGAGGATCCTCAAAACTTCATTGATGAGGTCAAGAAGATCTTTGAAGTGATTTAGGTAACTGGGAATGATCGGGTTGAGTTAGCATCTTACCAACTTAAGGATGTAGCTCATAGCTGGTATACTCAGTGGAAAGAGAACAGGGGTACAGATGCAACTCCTATCACTTGGGATTGCTTTAGTGAGACCTTCTTGGACAAGTTTTTCCCAAGAGAGCTAAGGGAGGCGAAAGCTCAGGAATTTATGAACTTAAGGCAATGTAGCATGACAGTCCAAGAGTATGGGCTCAAGTTTACCCAACTTTCCAAGTATGCTCCTCACATGGTTGCTGATTCCAGGGCTCAGATGAATAAGTTCATATATGGAGTGTCAAACTTGGTGAAGATAGAGTGTAGAAATGATATGTTGCTGGAAAATATGAGCATCTCTAGGCTCAGGACTGATGCTCAACAGGTTGAGGGTGATAAGCTTAGGGAACAGGCTAAGGAGAACAAGCAGGCTAGGACTGGGAACTATGACTATTCTCAGCAGAAATTTTCAACTCCAGCACCTTCATCAGCTAGTGTTCCATCCTCCAAGTTCAGACAAGATCAGAAAGGTAGGGCATCAGGCTCTAAATCTCAGGGAAGTGTTTCAGGAGCCAAAACCTACCCAACTTGCCCTAAGTGTGGTAAGACCATTCGGGTGAGTGCCTTGCAGGAAGGAATGATGCTTTGGGTGTGGTCAGTCTGGTCACAGATTGAGGGATTGTCCTTTTAAATAGGGTCAAGGAGGAGATGGTAAAGCTCACTCCATAACTTCAGAGGCCCCAACAAGTCGCTCGACTCAGCAGCATAACTCATCTGGTACAAGTGGCAGACAACGCCAAAATAGGCTCTATTCTCTCCAGGCTCGCCAGGATCAAGAAGATTCTCCTGATGTAGTCATTGACTGGTATGTTACGAGTCTTTGATCTCGATGTTTATGCTTTGTTAGATCTAGGGGCTACTCTTTCTTTTGTAACTCCTTATATAACAGTCAAATTTGATGTTAGTCCAGAAACTCTCTCAGAACCTTTCTCAGTCTCTACTCCAGTTGGTGACCCAGTTATAGCTAGACGGGTATACAGAAATTGCCCTGTCACAGTCTCTCAGAAAGTCACTTCAGCAGATCTTGTAGAGTTAGAACACTATAAAAAAATCAGCATTTAGCGACCGACGAAATCCGTCACTAATCTATGAAATTCCGTCGCTATATCGGTTTAGTGACGGATTAGCAACGGATTATCAGTTGTTACTATTTCGCTCGTTAATAATCTCTTAGTGACCAAAAAAAGGGTTCCGTCGCAAGTTTAGCGACGTCTTAGAGACGAACGATATTCGTTGCCACATTTTAGTGACGGATTAATCCATCATTATACTTATATAGTTCGTTACAAATTTCATAATTTATTTGGTCATTTTGGATAACTTCGCAACGGAGTTTCGGTCACTAATCTGTCGCAAAATATTCTGCACATTTACCACTGAAAAGTTCGTCGCTAGTCCGTCACCAATATTTTTTATAGAAACGACCAATTCGTCATTAAATTTGTTGCTAAAAAATTTCTTTTAAAATAATTTTATTTATTTATTTTAAATCTACACTGCTGAAATAAATTAAGTGACAATTATTAAATTCCCCTAAAATAACCAACATTCACAAGAAATAATACTTGGACTGTTCAAAATATGTAGATAGCAAAATTCAAATCACATATTTTTAGTGCAAAACATCAAAACCAATGTATCAACTATTCTTAAAAGCAGCTACATTCATAAACTATTGTTACTGCACAATTTGTAATTTCCAAAACAACAGACAAAATAAAAAATTAAAGCTGTATGGGGACTATGGGATAGCATCGTCGCCACTTGAAACTAAGGGATCAACCTCTTTCTCATTAGTAGTAGTAGGATGAGGCACTATGGGGGTCAAAGGTGACGGATTGTCAATGGGAGTAGTCACTTCTTGTACCCGCTCCATAATAACATGAAGAAAATGATTAGTAAGTGCAGGAATCATTTGCTTTACAAATTCATCCATATTTGTTGATGTTGATTGAGAAACTGAAGGTCGTACAGATAATGAGGTACAAAGCTTATGCTTGTAGTAATTTTTCGCTTTAGATCCAAAACCGTATATTGTATTCTTCTTTTCTCCCCCCGCAGCTTGGTAATATGCTTCAGATTGATCAATATCAGATTGAGATACCATTTTTTTCCCGTAAGATTTCTTCATATGTTTCCTGTAATAAATATAGGTAAAGAGAGAGCATTAAAGATTAGGAAAAAAATTTATATTTGACTGAAAAAGCAGAAATACATTACTTTTAAACTTACAGTACATATAAGCTGGTTGATTACTTACAGCTTACAATCAGTGAGTTTATTACTTACAGTTGTAATTTGTTTCATTACCAAAGTTAGGTTCGAGATTTGAAATTCTTACATAATCTGCCTCAGTTTCTATACCCTTAAACTTGAAGCTTTTTTCAATTATGAAAACGACATAACAAAAGATGGTGAACTTTAACATCAATACACAAATAGATCCTTAGTCAATCACTTGCCACTTAACCTTCCAGTACACATATAGCATGTTAAATGACCCTCACTCTTTAAGGCCAAGAAAATCATTTTCCCAGGACAAAACCAGTAACCAAATCCAAGTTGCAATAACAAATCCTTCAGGCCACATTGGTCTCCAACAAACACATGAGGAGACAAGTAACAAATTCGATATGGACAATAAATTTCCTACAATATCAACTGAGTAGCTTCAGGGGATCAGACTGAATAGCACAGAACAAAGACAATGCTAACCAAAAAAAGAAACTGTGCAGTACCCATGTTCAGTACCTCCTGCTACTGTTATAACTTCTACTTGATTGCAAATAGTATTTGTGATTCTTGAAATTTGGGTTGACAAGAGAAAAAAATACTTGAATGCCATTAAAATTCTTTCACTCCACTAATGTTTTGAAAAATGATGCAATTAGTCTCTAGAAGGCAATATGGCATACCATATGAAAAATCACTTTCTTCCATTGGAGTTTCATATGATGTGTGAAAGAAATCAGAAAGCAGTAAGTCACTTACTTCTTCACTTTTCTCTGTCCAGATAGTCAAGAATACATGCTACAACTATATATTGATCTCCAACAAACACATAAGGAGACAAGTAACTAAGGATGTTCAAGGGATCATATTTTTTTATTCAATTTCCCAGTAGAGCCTGGGTGTTGTATTAATCCTGAAAATTCAGCACCAAACATATACACCACCAAGGTCAATGCTCATCAAATTATACACCACCAAGGCCACAAGGAAGGGATGACTCACAACAAAAATTGAAAACTATAGGTAAAAATAAAGGGAATGTACAATCTACTACTGGTTTACTTAGGCATCCTTAGAGGAGGAAAAAAAATACCACTCACTAAATTGAGCACTGTAAATGAATCTAAAGTAACAAAGTTGATGTAAGTCAGTGGCATTGCCATGAAAACTGCACAAGTAGAAGCCATAATTTGCTCGTCTTGTTAGGTCTGTGTTGAATTAAAGTGTGGTTCTCTATTGTTAATTGGTGAGTAGTTTTGAGAGGAGATAAGCAAATACAATTGAAAACTAAAGTGTCAACCATTAACAATTGTTCAACATTGCAGATTGGAGAACAAAGCTCTAGTCAGACCTCACATTGTGATAAAGGATGATAAAAAATACTCACATCATATGACTTGACTGGCAAAGATAGCTAGGACAATAGCTTTGATTCCATTTTTTTGGACATCAAAAAAACAAAAACAGAGATGCCACATCAACCAACACATCTTCATGTACTAGAAATAAAATGTACACTACGATAGACCTCAACAAGATATATATCTATCTCATAAAAAAATTGTCTAATTAAGGACAAAATAACATCTAACTGTCTTCTTGTATTTTCAGTCAAGATCCCCTTCAAATGAGAATTGACATGTATATATTTAGATAGGTTTCAAAGTTTTGAACTTACATGGAAAACTCGAGAACGCTCATCAACAAAGGATTTTCCATCATGACCATGTGTATGGACGTGCAAATGTAACTCGGCTGGTGTTGGATCCCGACCATTTTTAATAGCATGTACAGAAGAAAATCACTTTTAGATACAATCATATCTACTGCATTATGTGTATTTATAATACAAGTGTTTAAATCAGACAACATAAAGATGTTACTTATATAATTTGTGAAATATATACTTACAAGTCTCTTGCGATATTCCCCAATTGAGATAGAGCCACCTGTGTGAGTCCCAGTAGCAACTTCACGGCCGCCATGACGATTCTTTGAATTTGTTTGACTTTTTAATAGACTTGTTACTTCTCCAAAGTTGCATCCATCTTTCCCACACATGCTCAGGTACAAAACCTGGCCTGATTCCTTCCCCTTTTATTTTAGAAATGAAATTCTTGTATTTTATTGCTACCTTACGCAACCAGTGTCTCTTCACTTCACTTTCACTAATGGAAACATCCCAATAGAACTTTTTCTAAAATAAATTTTAAAAGCAATACATTAATATCCTATCTATAAATGTGAATACACATTCCAAATTCACTTACAATGAAAATTCATACCTTTAATTCTCCAAAATAACCATCTTTTACATCGGGGTATGGAGTTAGTGGGGGCGGAGATGAAACTCCTTCACCGAAAAGTAGAAGGTACACTATCTATCAACATTCGTGAAGTTAACGCTTAAAAGGAGTAGGTGCATTTCCTATCAAGTCTCTCATATGCAACAAACATACTCAATAAATAGGAAGCTTTAGAAGCTACAAACATGTTGCAAATGGTTGAAGACTTGAAGTTATTCTATCTACATGGAAATTAGGGTGGGGCAACGAAAGAAACATGGCAATAATGACAACAACTTGTGAACTAAGATCCACTTAAAAGACTAGCCAAATAATACAAACAATTAATGCAACTCATGACTATTTTGCACCACAATTTTCCATGTAGTCATTTTCTAAAACAATCAGGGACCTCAATAGATACAACATTTCAATGTTTCTTGGCTGGCAGATCAACTATTCAAAAGTAAAATGACCTTGCATCATTTTGATTATTGAAATATTTGCTATACATCTGAGGCAAATATTTAAGGGATAAGTAAAACATAATTACATCTAAGGGATAAGTATGAACAAAATTACATCTAAGAATTACCCTGCAGAAGTCAGAAAAATAAAGAGCAGGGCTTACTTGGAGTGAATGGCAACCAGATACTAAGGATAATGTTATAGCAGTAGGTACCTGCAATATTTAAACATCAAATGCCTTGGTTATTAACATGAAGCAACAACAATAGTACAAATAAAAACTAAACACTTAATATGAATGAATTGTTGTCTTGAGTTGCATAAACACTTACCATGAATTCACATAAATGTATCAATGTCTTTAGCAACTAGCATTATTGATCTTGGAGAGTCAATTACTTATCGTCTTGCCCACATATTCATAAATGATAATAACATACCAAATCATTGTAATACATTTAGCCTAGACTTTAAAGTGTATAAACCAATCCCCACAACCAAACTGATTATTTATACTTTTATGAAGAGCATGTGACTGATCTTATTATGAGAAGCCATGTTGTAGGATCCTTCTCTAACACCTAAAACACCATATTCAAAGTGCTATTCTACATGATCCTCTCTGCTTGTTCAATTGGTTGATTATATAAATATGTCTAATTTTTTCAAAATCGCAGTCATGCTTACTTAAAATTGCTTCTTTGTTTTCATGTCATATGATTGTATCTTATCTGCCCAAATGCGGGTGCAGAAGGCTATACCATGTAGGTTTGTCCATATACATAACATTAGTGTCTTTATCTATTTTATTTGCTATTGTTTGGACCTATACCTAATGTCTAATATAATTCTTTTGGCTAAGATAGAGAGACTGTTTCATAGATTCTCAGCTGGACAACATCAGATACCAATTACAAAATAAAAAAGAAGTCATATCTCATACAAGTCAAAAGGTCCTTAAATTGAAAAATCAAAATCACCCCAGAAGTAGCTTCTAAGCTAGATTCAATAATACAGTGACATTATATATCAGAAAAACGAACTAAACAAAAGTATAAATAGAAAACTAAAAGCAGCACACTTTTCTGGAAAACAAAACTATTACGCAGGTGTGGGAGGGGATAAAGAGAGATACCTTTTAGCGGGGAGAGTAAAGTGGTAGTTAGTAATCACAAACAATGAAAGCTAGCTGCAATATAAAACAAAATTAAGTAAATCAGTGTGCAATTTACTTTCACAAAAGCAAATAAAAGTAAATCACTGTAAAGCTAGAACCCTAATCCCAAATTTTCAGAAAATCTTACTTCGAAAAAAACACTATTTTCAGAATACACAAAGTACTAAAATCTCAATTTTCAGAACACCTCAAACTTACTTCGAGCTAAAGGAAATGAAAAGAGTTGAAATTTATAAAACCCTATTTGAAGAATATCGACACTGATAAAACCTCTATTTTCAACACATCTCAATATTACTTCAAACTAAATGAAATGAAAAGAGTTGAGAGTTAGAAACTTTAATTTTCACAAACCCATCAGAGATAGAGAGATGATAGTTTGAGATCTCACTTTTTAGATCGAAATGGAAGGAGATAAAAGTTAGAGAGCTTACTTTGGGATGGGGATTGAAGGAGATGAGAGTTTCATTTGAGATGAGTTCCATCGGAGAAGGAAAGTTCCATCGCTTTCTGGTGAAAATGGAGAGTGTAAGGTGAAAATGGAGAGTGTAATGGTGAAAATGGTTCTGGTGAAATGATTTAGCATATATGATCAAAACTTAATTTTGCAACGTCCTTAGTGACGAATTTTAATATCCGTTGCTAGAAAAAATATATTTATTTCCCTTTCAGTTCTAATGACGGATTTTTCCGTCACTATATAAATTAAATTTTATAAAAATATATTTTTAAGTTTAGTGACGTTTTTCCATCACCATTTCCCTCGCGGAATATTAATTAAATTGGTCACACTTACTTTGTTGCTAAATTGGTAGCGAAAACTAGGGCGCCGAAATTTCGCGCTCATTTTTAGCGACCAAACAAATATTTCGTCGCCAATCCATCGTTATATCATAAATCAAAAAATTATTTGTAATTGTTGCGACAAAATGTCTATTCCGTTGCTAATCCATCGCTATTTAGTGACGGAATAAAATTTGTCGCTAATATCCGTCGCTAAACACTGTTTTTTTAGTAGTGGAAATGATAGACTTTGATGTAATTCTAGGCATGGATTGGTTACATTCATGTTATGCCTCAGTCGATTGTAGAACTAGGATCGTTCATTTTCAGTTTCCAGATGAACCAATCCTAGAATGGAAGGGTAGTAGCTTAGCGCCTATAGGTCGATTCATTTCTTACCTTAAGGCTAGAAAGATGATCTCTAAGGGTTATCTCTATCATCTAGTTCGGGTTAAGGATTCAAGCTCCGAAACCCCAACTTTTGAGTCAGTTCCAATGGTTAATGAGTTTCCAGAAGTTCTTCCAAAAGATCTCCCGGAGTTCCTCCCGAAAGGGAAATCGACTTTGGAATTGATCTACTTCTAAATACCCAGCCTATTTCTATTCCACCTTACAAAATGGATCCATCAGAGCTTAAGGAATTGA